TGATCTGCAGACTGCCACGTTTGCAGACACGGGCAAGCCCGTGCCTTTTCAGTGGTGCCTGAACGGGCGCGAGGCCGAGTGGCTACACACCTACATGCAGCAGTCGAAGGCGCATCGTGGTGGCGCGTGCTTTGGGCTCATCCAGAACCCAGATGACCATTGCAGTGAAAACATAGGGTTGCAGTATTTGCAGACGATCATCAGGAACGTGGGCCTCCTCTACAGCGAGGTCCACCACCGGTGGATGGTGCCGCTCGAGGTGCTCAACGCCCAGTGTTTTCCTGTCTACGGGTCTGCATTTGGGGAAGAGTGTTCGTTCTCTCGGCCGAGGCCGACTGCCCGCAAGAGGTCGCATGTGTTCGCGCAGGCAGGGAACTCGATGCACGGTGCCGTCATCGGCCTCTGTCTCGCTTGGGGTTTCCATAACATCGTGGACGCCGCCCCCGACGTGCCTGACGAGTTCATCAGCGGTGGCAAGCGCCGGCGCGTCCTGGAGCCCACCGCGAGGATTGGGCACATAGCAACTGCACTCTACTCGTCTCCTCCCCCTTCGCCCTCGCCCCTCCCCCTCCCCCCCCGATCCCTCCTCCTCATCTTCGGTGTCTCCTCCTCCTCCTCCTCTTCCTCCTCCTCGCACCCCCCAGTTTCTCGCGATGCCGAGTGGTGTCGAGTGGCCTTTTTTCAGCCAGGGGCTGGATCTTGGACTCGCCTGCGCTGCGGCGCTCGGCTCCTCCTCCTCCCCCTCCTTTTACCCGACGACGCCGACGACGACGACGATGGCGACTCGACGATCACGACGACGGCGGCGACGACGACGGCGCCCTCCCTATTGGAGAGTCCCGTGGAACCCTTGGTGGCGAAAAGGCACGTTTGGTTATGATCCCACACAGACACTCGGGGGGAAAAACAATTCCTCCCCTCCTTCTTCCTGCTCCTTCCACCTTTCCTTCCTCTCCTACCACTTCCTCCTCTTCCGCTCCTCGCTCCTCACCCCTCGGGGGGAAATCTAAGCCAAAAAGATGGCGTCAATATTTTTGAAAATATTGACGCCTGGTTTTGGGCCTGTTCAGGGCCCCTCTCTCTCTCTCTCTCTCTCTCTCTCTCTCTCTCTCTCTCTCTCTCTCTCTCTCTCTCTCTCTCTCTCTCTCTCTCTCTCCTCTCTCTCTCTCTCTTCTCTCTCTCTCCTCTCTCTCCTCTCTCTCCTCTCTCTCTCTCTCTCTCCCGCCCCGCTGCCGGCCTGAGGAGCCCCTCCAGCGCCGCGTCCACCAGCTCCGACTGAGCCTGGCAGCTGGGCGGCTGGGGCAGGGCAGCCGCTTGCCGCCCCCAGCGGCAGCAGCGCCGTCGTCGACGTCGGCGTCGCGTCGCGTCGACGTCGTCGGAGTCGTCGTCATCGTCGTCGTCGTCGTCGTCGAGGTCGTCGTCGCCGAGGTCCTCGGCGTCGACGGCGACCCGGCGGCGACGCGGCGACGACGTCGACGTCGACGTCGACGTCGACTCGACGCCAACCGCGACCATGACCGCCAGACTTCCTGACCGCCCCTGCCCCCGTTCGGTTGAATTCAGCGTTCGCGGCAGTCAGCCGGGGGGTCTCGAGGTCACGTCTGCAGATGGGGCTGCAGAGGCACTGCAGAGGGAGCCCGTGGAGGAACCGAGGAAATTTGACCAGGGTCGTCGCAGCCTCAGCTGCCCGGTCCCCTTCCTGCGCCTGCTCCCTCGGGCCCGTGCTTATCCTTAATGTTCCTGCTATTGCGCTTCCTCATCGCCCTGGATTCCTGCTTCCGCCCCGCATTTCTCATCGAGTCCACTCGCCATCATCGCCGTCGCCATCGCCGCCATCATATCAGCACCACCACCATCATCATCATTGTCAGCATCATCATCATTATTATCATCATCATCATCATCATCACCATCACCATCACCAGCATCATCATCATCATCATCATCATCATCATCGCCAACATCCCCCACTAGTGGTTCATGGAGGCAGGGAGGAAAACGGACACTTAAGGACTCTGGCAAATCATCATCGTCATCATCATCATTATCATCATCATCATCATCCATCATCTATCACCCATCACCCATCATCATCCCTCGTCTTCTTCGCCATCACCTTCATCATCATCGCTCATCGCCGCCACCGCGTGACCATCAAACATGATCAGCATAATCATCATCATCATCATCATCATCATCATCATCATCATCGTCGCAAACGCCACCATCGCACAATCACATCATTATCTTTGCCGATGCTTTCCCCTTTTCTCTCCCCCCTCCCATCCACCTTCTCCTGCGTGCCTCCACATTCCCCCGAGGCCGAGCGACTCGCCCTGGGCCGGGCGGGTTGCGGTTGCGGGCAACGCAGTAGTCGCAGCAGGCGCACGTTCCTCTCGTCCGCACCTCCTCCGTTCCTCCTCCTCATCGTCTTCCTGTCTTCCTCCTCCCCTTTCCTTCACCCCCTCCTTCTCCGTCTCCGTCTCCCTCCTCCCCACCCGTCTACGGCGCGAAGATAATCGCGCTTCGGCGCTTCGTGCGTCGATGCCCAAGCAGGGGCGATGTGCGCTTCCCCGCTGCGGCGCGAAGATAACCCGCTACGTGCATCTCGGAACGCGATGCTGCGAGTTAGGAGACCTAAATAACTACTACGCTTCGTTTCGGACCGAAACCAGTTTCGGAACATCTCATTTTCTTCCCTGCCCCCGCCGTCTCTGCTGTTCGTGGCCAAGTCCGGCCTCTCCGCGAGGCGCCCTTCTCCGACCGCCTTCCCTTCGCAAGAATTCAGGTCGGCCGCCGCGCCATGGCTGCCGCGGCTGCGACTGGCTCTTCGGATACGATCGGTGCGGGGCCCGCGCACGACTACGACGCGTCCGGGTCTGGAGGTTTTGGGCATGGGCACCCTTCGCCTTCGGATGCTTCCTCGGCGCACTCTGGTCTTCCCGCGTCGGGGACCAACGCGCACGACCTCCTGTTCGGGCCCAAGGATCTAGGCTGCCCAAATGGGGTCAGGGTAGACGGGGCCAGAGGATCGCGCTGCATCCCCGGTGGTTTGGCGACGCGACTCGATGCGGATCGATGTCTCGCCGACGTCGCCGATGCATATGCGTTGCGTCGCCGATTCAGCGCGATCCTCAGACCCCATCCACTCGGACATCCATAGGGGTGCCTCTTTCAAAGGAGTCAGTCGACGAGCGCTTCCCGGACGTGGACGGCCAGGAGCGCTACGAGATCATCGAGAGGTCCTACGGCATTGCTGACCCGTCTCCCGTCATGGCGTGGGGCCCCGACAACGAGGAGCTGCTGGTGAGACACAGCGGCGTCAACGCCCGCAAGGTCTCCGCCGCTTGCATGGTGTATGCGAAGAACATTCTGAAGTGTGGCGTGATGACCAAGTTCAGGGGTGTGATGATGGGGGTGCAGTGCGTGCAGAAGGCCAGTTCACCCGACGGGCTCACGTCGGACGAGGTCACATACTGGCGCATGATATCTGGCGCCACGCTCGCAGAGGCGCTGTACGTGGCCGCCAAGATGGAGCCCGACAATAAGCACGTGCTGGCCATTCGGAAGAAGGGCGTCTCCATCAAGAAATGGCGCTTCGACACGCCTGTCGACGTCTTGCGGTGGCTCAAGGACCGTTGGTTGTAACAGTTGCCGTGGACGACGCGAGTCGTCGCCTCGGAGCCTCCTACCTCCTCCTCTTCCACCTCCTCCTCCAGCTGATGCTGCGGCTGCTGCTCCTCCTCCTCCTCCTCTCCTCGTCCTCCTCCTCATCCTCGGCCCCATTCTCATCCCTCTTCCTTCCTTCCTCCTCCTCCTCCCCCTCCTCTTTCTTCCTCCACCTCGTCCTCCCCGCATCCCCCCTCCCTCCCTCCTGCCTCCTCCTCCCCCTCCTCCTCCTCCTCCTCCCCCAGGGGCCAGCCGCCCCCCACCCCCCGGGCCCCGCCCCCCAATCCGCAGGCGGCGGCGGAGGGCGAGGAGGAGGAGGAGGAGCTGAGGAGGGGCGGGAGAAGGAGTCGGAGGAGGAGTCGGAGGAGGAGGAGGAGGAGGACTCAAGAGGACCGAGGAGGCGGAGGCGGGGGAAGGGGGGGGGGTGGCAAGCCCCCGCTTTCGCTTTCCCAGGGGGAGGGGAACAACTGGCACGGTGGCGTGTCGACCACGTTCTTGGAATTGCCCCCCGCTGCTTCGTTTGCCCGACGGAACGTCAGGAGTCTGGAGTTTTTGAGTCTGACCGTCGCAAGAACTACCTCTCGACATCGGAGAGGCCTCAGGCCTCAGGGCGGCCAATGTTTCGATCGGTGTGTTGGTCCAGGTCGTTGTCTGTTGTCTGTCGGTTCCGTTCGGTTTACCCTGGGGCCTGAAGTCAGGTTGGCGGCCATCTCTGACATCGAGGCCGGCTGGCTTGCGCACAGGAGGTCAAAGGGCATCGAGTACGGTACTTGTCCGAAGGCGGGGCCCATGAGCTGGGCCAGCCAGATGTCGGCGTATACCATGAAGAACTTCGGGGACGTGTTCAAGCAGTCCAAGAACCTGGTGACCGTGACGAAATCCGTGGTCACTGCGCTCACCAGGACTCCCACCGTACAAACGTCAAACTAATCTTGCCACGTCGGTCATGTTTTGTTGGCTGCTGTTCTGGCGTGCGTGTGCGCGAGCGCGCGCGTGTGTTTGTGTGTGTGTGTGTGTTTGTGCGTGTGCGCGTGCGTGTGTGCGCGCGCGCGTGCAGGCGTGCGCGTGTGTCTGCGTGTGTGGAGTCGCGTGAAACTGTGAAAGCGCTCGACTTCGGCGTGTTGCCACGAGTCGTCCATGCCGCCCATGCCCATAGATGGGGCGGACGGAATGGGCTATGGGCCATGGGCGCGCGCTGTCGGATGGGGGCCCGAAGTCGGACGGTGCCTCCCACAGGGTCCGACATACCGCGCCCATACCCAGATCAGGCCCCCTCCCTCCGACCTCCCTATGGGAATGGGTTGTGCGTGTTACGTGAACAAAGCCGCAGGATGCACATGTTGTCCGACTTCACCGCTCTGTGCGGCTCGGCGACGGGCGTGGATTGGCTTAGGCCAGAGCTGAACAACACCACCGTCATACACGTGCTGAACAGTCTGCTCTCAGATCTGGAGGAGCACTTCAGTGACGCACTGGATGAGGAAACGCTGAGAATGGTATGCTTCGAGCTCTTGAAGTTCGCCCTCCCCTGGGCTGTGGCCGACGGCGTGGACAGCGAGCAAGTCTGCTGTTCGTGGGTGTTCACTACCACCGCCATTGCCAGCCAGAAGTTCAAGTGGCTTTGCACTCCCATGGCGGGTTCCACTCTCTACAAGTCCGCGCAGCCGAAAGCCAAATCGAAGCCGAAGAAAGCTGCCGCCGGCACGGGCTCGGAGCCCCCCGCCAAGAAGGCACGCAAGGGCAAGGGCAGGGGCAAGGGCGGGGGCCCGACCGTCCCAGAGGAAACGCTCACATTGACGACCTCGGCCACTCGGCAGAAGTACTGGTTGGATGACGCGGTTGCGTGCGTGATGGCTGTCAAGGATCACCTCGACCCTTCGAACATCAAGCATGCTGTGATCAGGAGGTCCATCTTCCTCGCCCTGCAATTCTGTTTCGAGAAGAAGATCGTCATTGCGCGGCACGTCTCACGTGGTTCAAGTCGGTTGCAATCGTTTGGATATCTACCATCGTCCCGTGCCCACGCCGGCTGCTCAAGCATATAATCATATTTATTGTATAATATTATTATTTTATTTATATTTATTAATTTATATTGTATAATAAGTTATTTAATATAATATTTTAATAGTATTTGTATTTTAATGATTTTGTAATTATATTTAATATTAACATTTGTATATTTATTTTTTAAATGATATTTATTATTTATAATTTATTAGTTATTATTATTGAGATTTTATTTTAAATATTATTATTAATTAAATCAAATTTATCGCCGATGACGGCGCCCCCGGCGCGTCGGTCGTCGCCGCGACCTCCGCGATTCAGTCCGACGGTCAGATCGACCAGGCCACCAGGGTCTTGGCGAAGCTGGACATGGCCGACGACGCCGACGCCCGGGCCGAGGCCCTCTCCTTGCCCGCGAGCCCGGACGAGCTCTGGCAGAAGGGGATGGTCCGCAACCCGGAGGTCAGCGCGATGCAGGCGATGGCAGAGGACGCTTCTTTTGTCAGGTGGTAGCAGATACAAAATCGTGCTCTTGATCCTTTGCAACCTGCTCCCCCCCCCTCCTGCTTCCTCCCCCGCCTGCCTCCACCTTCTCCTCCTCCTCCTGCTCTTCCTCGTCCCTCACCTCCACCTCCTCCTACTCCCCCTTCTTTCTTTCCCCTCACTCCTCCTCAGTGCTCCTCCTCCGACTCCCTCCTCCTCCTCCTCCTCCTCCTTCCCTCGCCCCCCTTCTGCCCCCGCGCCTCTCCCGCCCGCCCGGCCCTCTCCCCGAAGGCAGCTGGTTGGCTTCTGCGCCAGGAACATCGCGCCCTCGCTGCCGACGGCCATGCAGCCGACGTTCAGGGACCTGTCCATGAACATCACGGCGTCCTTGGCCAAGCAGCAGCAGAAGCTCGTCGCGCTGGCAACGGACAGCGACAAGGTTGAGTTTTTGTGCGATATCATCAGTCAGGACCCTCTCACTGCAAACCCGCATGTGTATACATATATAGATATACATATACATACATCTGCATGTATACCATGCGTGTGTCTTAACAGTTTGACGGCGATGCGTGCATCACTTTTTCGACCCATAATCCTGCATACGTTTATATAGATCACGCCTCATATGCCATGTTATCGTATTACTTCTTCCTTATATATATAATATATACATAGATGTATAAATGCGTAGACATCTATAAGCACGCATCGCTAGCCATGTCTTTCTGTCTGTCTATGTATGTAGATGTAGATGTGTGTGTGCGCACATCCCCCTATCTCCTCATACATACACATGCCCACATGCTTTTACATAGATGTACATACACATACATACACAACTAGACATTTACATGTTAAAATATGCACACAAACATATATATACATACGCACACATCTATGTGTGTCTATGTATATATAGATATGCGCATATATGTGTATATACTGTATTAAACGCAAGTATATATTCACTCCACAGTTGTATTGTCTCTCTGCCTCTCGTTCTCTCTCTCTCTCTCTCTCTATCCCTCTACATCTGTGCAAATACGTATCCACGCGCATATGCGCATATTCATGCATGCGTATATATATACATATAGATATACACACACGCACACTAAATGCACGCCGCCCCCCCCCCCCCCTCGTCGGGGGTGAGGGGGGTGATGCACGTGGATTTCGAACTTGTCGTTGCGCGTGCCCCTTTGAGGAGCTCTTCGGCTTAGTCCCGCAGCGGTGGATGGAGTTCACGGCCTACGTGCGCAAGATGATCGTGGACCACAGCTCGGGCGCCAGCGAGAACCGGTTGAGGCTCATCTCGTTCGGCGTCTTCAACTGCGCGGACAGCGTGGCGAAGTTCTGGAGAGCTCGCGCCCTGTACTTCAGGGAGGCGGTGGCGTGTCTCGTCGGCGGGCCCGAACGGATGACCTCCACGGACTACTCGCACGTGACCCTCTGGCTCTACAGCGCCCAGGCGGAGGTCGCCGAGGTCCTCGAGTGCGGCGGCCCAGCTGCGGCTGTCTACGCGAAGCGCATGTCGCAGATCATCCTGGCCGGCGTGGTGGACGGGCTTAGCCTCGATGCTCCGGCCATGTCCTCGAAGCTGAAGTCCACGATGCAGGCGCTGGAGCAGCAGCGGGCCGATGCTGCCGAGATGCTTCAGCTGCTGGCTGCGCACTGCCCCAGGGGGGACTCGTTTCTCAAGCCGCTGCCCGAGATTCGCGCGATGTGGAACGCTATGGCGGCCGAGCCGGGCGACGAGGCGACGGGTGGAGCTGCGGTGGGAGTGGCGTCGACCAGCGAGGAGGAGACGGTGCCAGCGATGGCCATGCACTCCTTGGCGCTCCACCTCGAGCAGAAGCTATACGACTGGGCGTTCCAGGGGGAGCACGCGTCGACCCTCGCCCCGGACGCGCACGCCGACACCTTGATGGGGGACGCTTTCGACCCTGCGGCTGCCATCTACTGGACGAAGACGGAGTTATGCGTGGCGCCGGAGAAGGACCTGGTGTTCAACATGATTGGGGAGGTCTTTATGCTGTAGTAAATATGTTACATGGTGACATATATTATCTATCTCTCTTCCTCCCCCTCCGCCCCTGCCATCCCCCCCTCTCTCATTCCCATCCTTCCGCTTCCTCCGCCTCCTCCTTGCATGCGTGCATGCATGCATCTATGCATGCATGCATGCATGCATGCATGTATGTATGTATGTATCCATGCGTGTATGTGCTGTATGTGTGCATGTACATATGTGTGGGTGTGACGTGTGTGAATGTGTGTTACACTGCGTTACACACCTCTCCCGTCCCCCCCCTCGCTCTCCCCCTGCCCCTCCCTCCTTCTCCTTCCTGTGCCGCTGCCTTTTACTCCAGCGCCCCCCCTCCTGCTGCCGCTGCTGCCCACCCCGCCATCCTCCACCCCCCGGCGGGGCGGCGGCGGGGCGGCCATCCTGCGGCCCGTCCGTCGGCCAGCGGCGCCGCCGCCGCCATTGGGCCGAGCGCCTCGGCGTTCCCGCGTTCTCTCTCCTCCTTTCCCTCTTCCACCTTCCTCGTTCCTTCCTGCCCCCCCTCTCTCCATCCTTCTTGCCCTGCCCTCTCAGACCTTCCCCCCCCCCCCCGCGCCTCTTTCCTCCTGGCATTCGACTTTCTTTCCCTCGACCCGCCCTCCCCCCCCCGCCCCTTCTCTTCTCTTCGCTGGGTCCCCTCCCGAGGCCTCCCTCTCCCCTCCTCTCTCGCCTCTCTCTCTCTCTCTCGCTCTCTTTCTCTCTCTCTCTCTACTCTCTCTCTCTCTCTCTCTCTCTCTCTCTCTCCTCTCTCTCTCTCTCTCTCTCTCTCTCTCTCTCTCTCTCTCTCTCTCTTCTCTCTCTCTCTCTCTCTCTCTCTCTCTCTCTCTCTCTCTCTCTCTCGTCTCTCTCTCTCTCTCTCTCCTCTCTCTCTCTCTCTCTCTCTCTCTCTCTCTCTCTCTCTCTCTCTCTCTCTCTCTCTCTCTCTCTCTCTCTCTCTCTCTCTCTCTCTCTCTCTCTCCTGCCATTCGCCTCCTCGCCCGCGCCTCGCAGGTCTCGCGTGTCCCCGCGGTTGGCGGCTACAAGCTGTGCGCGGTGAGTAATGTCGACTTGTTCGTGAACCCGTCCGGGAAGGATTTCACGGTTCCGGAGTTCGTTCCAGCTTGGCTACTGCCGCTGGACACGGACGACCTGCGCAAGGCAGAGACAGGCGACGATGGGAACGTTGCTCGCATTATTACGCTCGAGGCCGTCCAGAAGGATATACCCTTCTCGTACTCCTACACGTACTTCGCGGCTCGCAAGACCATCAAGACGACGCTCACAGTGTGGCAGCTCAAGATGCCCGAGAGTGACGCGTTCACCAAGGAGATCGCTGCCGCCCCCACCAACACTCGGTTCAGGGTCGCCAGGGGCGAGATCAAGAACGCCGCGAAGACGGCCCCGAAGCTCAAGAAGGCCGCCCGGGGCAAGGGCCGGGGCAAGGGCGCCGCCGACAGCGAGCATCAGCCGCAGCAGAACGTGCCCGCCGAGCAGCGGCACTTGCTCAGGTAGGTGGCGCGCTGCTGGGTCAGCTTTCGGTAGGAGGTGGCGTGCCGGGCCAGCAGAGGAGGAGGAGGAGGAGGGGGAGGAGGAGAAGGAGGACGGCGAGGAGGGAGCGAAGGGAGAGGAGACGGTCGGAGACGGTGGTGGAAGGAGGAGGAGGAGGAGGATTGGGAGGGGGAGGCCTGCTTAGCTCCTCCTCTTCCTCCACCACGTCCTACTCTCCTCTCTCCACTCCTCTCCTCCTCCTCCTCCTCCTCCTCCTCCTCCTCCTCCTTCCCTCCTCCCCCCTCGGGGACTCCTCCTCCTCCTCCTCCTCCTCCTCCTGTTCCTCCTCCTCCTCCTCCTGTTCCTCCTCCTCCTCACTCCCCCTCCTCTTCCTCATCCTCCTTCCTTCTCCTCCCTCCCAGCTCTCCTCGCCCTCGTCCTCAGTCCTCCCTTCCCTTTTTCTTCCTCTCTTCCATTCGCGATCTTCCTCGCGTGTCTGTGCACAGTGAATGCGTCGCTCGCCCGACCCGAGCGCCACCTGGGCGCTCGCGTTCGGTCGACGGGCGCGCGGAGCGCCATCTTGCGCTGCTCCCGACTCCGGGCCATGTCAGTCCTCACTCTTTCCCCTGAGCCTCACTCACTCCCCCCATCTCACCTTCTCCTGATCCCCCTCATAGGGCCCCTCATCTGCCACAACCGCCGCGGCCCATGCCGTTTCTCGCCCTCTACTCTGCTCGCCGCGGGGTTGGCGAGCAGAGTAGCAGCCCAGCGGGCCGAACCCATGGAAGGGCAGGAGACGAGAATGAGTGGGGTTAGCGAGTTGGCAGGGGGCCATCGTCGTCGCCGACGGCGACTCGCCGTCGCCCCCCTCCCGATCGGCCTGCTGGGCGGGCGCTGCCCGGGCCCTTGGGCGCGGGCCCGCTGCCGCTCGCGCAGCCGCGCCGCCGCGCGGCTGCTTGGCTGAAAAAGGGTGCGCCAAGCACAATGCATCACTCCTCCCGTCTCCTTCCTCCCTCCTCCCTCCCCTCTTTTCCCGCCTCCTCCTTCCTCCCGCCTTCCACTTCTCTCCTCCTCATCTCCCCCTCTCCTCCTCCTTCTCCTCCTCCTCCTCCTCCTCCTCAACTCCTCCTCCGCCTCCTCCCCCTCCTCCTTTCCCGTCCTCTTTGTCTCCTCGTCCTCCTCCTCCTCCGCCTCCTCCTCCTCTTCTTCCCCCTCATTCTTCTCTTCCTCCTCTTTGCCAGTCCTCCTCGTCCCCCCCGACTTCCTTTTCAATTCCCCCCATCCGCCGTCGCTGCGTCGACTTTCATCGCCTTCTCCTCGTCCTGTTTCTTCTTCTCCTTACCCTCTTCCACATCGTTCCCTCCCCCGTTTCCACTTCCCTTCCATATTCCACAACCGATTCCTGGACATTGTCAGGGGCGCGCCAGACAGGGATTGCGATGGGAATGCTACTGTTTGCGCTGGCGTGGGGGACCGTGGGAGAGGATTCACACAGCGATCCGCACCGCCTTTGGCCTGCCCAGAGGTGCTTTCCAGGGGGGGGGATCGCCTTCAAAAGCAACCGCGGCGGCTTCAGCGCTGTAGGGCCGACGCCGCCCCCCAATGGTTTTCGGATGGTCCCCCGATGGTCATCGGATGGTCATCCGATGGTCATCGACTGGTCATCCGATGGTCATCGGATGGTCATCGGATGGTAATCGGATGGTCATCCGATGGTCATCCGATGACCATCGGATTGCCACCCGATGCTCATCGGGATGGTCATCCGATGGTCATCGGATGGTCATCGGATGTTCATATGGTGGCCCTCAGTACAGGAGAGCGCCCTCGCCGCTGGCGCTGCAGCGGCGGCGGCGCTGCTGGACGACGCCGCGCCGCTCAGCGAGCTGCAGGACACCCGTGTTTCCATCACCATCCCCATCAGCAACATCATCGGCATCACCATCAACATCAGCAATAACAACATCATCACCATAGCCGTCACCAGCATCGCCATCGTCACCGCCGTCGTCTTCCACAGCGTGGCCGTCGTCAGCATCATCAGGGACATCATCGTCATCATCACCATCATCATCAGCATCATCAGCAGCAGCATCATCAGCATCAGCATCAGCATCATCAATATCAGCATCGTCATCATTCTCATCATCGTTAACAACATCATCGCCATCACCGTCATCATCACCAACGTCAACATCATCATTTCTGTTGCCGTCGCGCCATCAGCTTCGGCACACCGCGGGCCCCACCGAAAGCCCCAACGGAAGAGTCCGCATGGCACAGTCGCTTCAGTTTGCCACACCACTCGCACGGTTCGTGGCCCCATAGGGCTCCACCGACGGCCCCAGTGGGAGGGCCCGCATGGCGCCGCCGCATCATGTCGGCGCACCCCTCGCAGGGTTCGCGGCCTCAGGGGGCCCCACCGAAGGCCCAAATGAGGGCCCGCATGGCACCACCACGCGGTTCGCGGGTCCAGAGCTCCACCGCAAGCCCCAGTGAGGGTCCGCATGGTGCCACCGCCGAATGCCCCAATGACCAGGTCAGCATGCGCCCGACGCCCATTTTGGTACACGCCTCACACGTGTCGCGGCCCAAGTGGCTGCGCTCGCATGGCGCCGCCACACCAATTTCGGCGCGCTCCCCACACGGTCCGCGGCGCCATAGGAGCTCCACCCCAAACCCCAACGGAAGGGTCAGTATGACACCGCCGCTTCAGCTCGCCACGCCACCCACACGGCGGCTCCACCGATGGCCCCAATGGGAATCTCCGCATGACACTGCCGCCCATGGCGCGCCGCAACCCTGTGGCCACATGGTGAGCCCCACCGACGACTCAACGGAACAGTCAGCATGGCCCCGTCGAGAGCCCCACCGAAAGCCCAAACGACAAAGTTCGCATGCGCCCTCCCGACTCATGTCGGCACGCCTTTCACGCGCTTCGTGGCAGAAGGCCGTGTCTCATGCGCCACTCAGAGTTTGCGCGGCCCGCGTAGTGTTGGGTCCGTCGCCAGGGCGTTGTTTTTTTTTCGAGGAGGGAAGGGGGGGGGGGGGGGCGGGCAGGGCTATGAAAAGAGGAGGAAGAAGCTGATGATGCTGATGCTTATGATGGTGATGATGGTGCTGCTGATGATGGTGAGGATGAGAGTGAGGGTGAGGGCGAGGAGGATGATGATGAGAGGAGGAGGCGGCGGAGAGGGAGGAGGGGGGGGGGGGAAAAAGAGGAGGGGGGAACGGCAGAGAGAGAGATGAGTGCGAGAGAGAGAGAGAGATACAAGAGAGAAGAGAGAGAGAGAGAGAGAGAGAAAGAGAAGAGAGGGAAAAAAAAAAAAAAAAAAAAAAAAAAAAAAAAAAAAAAAAAAAAAAAAAAAAAAAAAAAAAAAAAAAAAACAAACAAAAAAAAAAAAAAAAAAAAAAAAAAAAAAAAAAAAAAAAAAAAAAAAAAAAAAAAAGAGAGAGAGAGAGAAGAGAGACGAGAGAGAGAGAGAGAGAGAGAGAGAGAGAGAGAGAGAGAGAGAGAGGAGAGAGAGAGGGAGAGAGAGAGAGAGAGAGACGAGAGAGAGAGAGAGAGAGAGAGAGAGAGGGAGACAGAGAGAGAGAGAGCGGGAGAGAAAGAGAGAGAGAGAGAGAGAGAGAGAGAGAGAGAGAGAGAGAGAGAGAGAGAGAGAGAGAGAGAGAGAGAGAGAGAGTGAACGAGAGTGAGAGGGAGCGAGCGTGCGAGCGAGAGAACGAGAGAGAGGGAGCGATATGGTTATATAAGACACTCGGGCCCCCAGTCGCCGCGCCCGAAGCGCCATCGCGGCCCTGGCGACGGCGTTCCAGAGGCGGCGGCGGCGATGCTGGAGGCGCATCGCACTCGTCGTCGTCGCCCTCCTCCCCCCCCTCCTCCTCCTCCTCCCCCCCATCCTCGTCCTCCTCCGCCCCCTCCTCCTTCCCCCCGCGCCCCTCCGAAGTGGCCGCGCGCCGACCCCGCCCCCCACGTCGTCGGACGGCGCGACCGACGACGACTAGGAGGGGTGGGGACCCCTTCTCCTCAGATCGTTCCTCATGCTCCTCCTCGCCCATCCTCGCCCCCCGCTCCTCCTCAACCTCCCCATCCTCCTCGCCGTCCTCGCCATCCGTGCCCCGCCCCCCGCCCTCCCCTCTCGTCCCCATCCTCGCCATCCCTCTCAGCCTCCTCCTCCCCCGTCCTCCTCGCCCATCCTCCTCCCCCTCATCACCTAGCTAGTCTCCTCCTCGCCCACCTCCCGCGATCCCGCAGGCGGACGCTGCGGATGCTGCGGCGGCGGCAGAGGCGAACGACAAGCGCAAGGCGGACGTCGGCGTCGTCATCGTTGTCGTCGCGATCGTCGAGTTCGGTTTCCCCAGACAGTGCTTGCACTTAGGACTTCGATGAGCACCTCCCAGGCGCTCAAGCCTTCGCACCCCAAGCAGTGCTTGCACTTAGGTTTGGTGAGGTCTCTGACCCCAGGCGGTGCTTGCACTGAAGGCTGGGTCTCAACCAACTCCTGTGGAGCGGGGGCGCATGGCAACATCATTCACGCGTTCTCGGTGCACTCTGGTCGTCTTCCTCCCCCGCCCGCCCCGCGTGATTTCGGGCGTAGTCCGAATGTGTATCTCGCGCAGTCCTGTCCAGCCCATGGGCTGGGCAGGACTGGACAGGACTGGACTGGCTGGTCGCGCAGGTTACGCGCCAGTTTCGTCCTCGGCGGCCGAGGGATGCAACCTATGACACGACCCTCCTATTATCAGCTGCCGAGGGCGCATGGCGCAACCAATCGGACGGGGAGGAGTACGAGGGCGATGAGGACGAGGCCTAAGACGAACGGCGACGACGACTACGACGACGTCGACAACGACAACGGCGAAACCGAGCACGCCGACGGGGCCTAGAGCGGGGCCACGGCCGATTTATGCTCGTCGTTTGGGCTGGCCGAAGCGGTGATGTTCTCCAGTAGCCATTTAGGCCCCAGCCAAGTGGTTCGGATCTGGCGAGGGCGGGCGCGGACAGCGCCGTCGGAGGCGCA